AAGAAAGAAAGAAAGAAAGAAAGAAAGAAAGAAAGAAAGAAAGAAAGGAGAAAGCAAGCTCCTACACAAATTGAAATCCTGGCTGGGTAGAATAGACTGAACCTCATGGGGGTGGGGTCTCCTGCCACAAGTTCCAGGACCGGGTACACAGTCCCAATTCCCTGCCCCTCCCCCCTACCTGGTCCATAATTTTGGCCTTAAAATATGCCCAGGGACCATGTCTCCCTCCGGAGGGCAGCATCCTCAGTCTAGAACACAATTCTCACCTGGATCCGAGGCAGAGGTTTGACATGGCTACCTGACCCTGCCCTAGCCATAATCCAGGAGTCCAGGGTCACTCTCTCCTCCTTGGAAAACCTGGACCCATCCGCTCAAAAACACATTTCCAGATGCCCGGCTCCATTAACAACTCAGGAGTCCTGACTCCAGGCTCACACCTTGTCAGGTACCCAGAAGTCTGAACCCCCTCTAGTTCCAGGACCCCAGCTACCTCCCTTCAGGGTGCCAGTGGCCGGACCCCGGAATCCGGGCCCAGCTCCTCCTCTCCAAACAGGAATCCCAGCCCAGCCCAGGGACCCAGGAGTCAGGGGGGGCCCCAGCCCCTCCCCTCAGCGGTGGGGGCAGCTGAGCCAGGGGTCAGGCTTGGAAGTGTTGGGGGGGGAGGACACGAGGGGCGGGGTCAGCCGGGATTGGAAGGGGAGACCGCAGCGTGGGCGGCTGGCCGACCAGCAGGGAGGAAAGAGAATCGGAGAGGGGAGGAAGACAGAAGGGGAATCTGAGGGAGAGGAGGAAACAGCGTCGGGGGGACAGAGAGAGAGAAGGAGGAAGAGCTTGAGGGTGAGGGAGAGCTTGAGGGTGAGGGAGAGCGAGGGGGAGAGAACGAGACGGAAACCTGGGGAGGAAAGACTGTAAGTCTGAGCGAAAAAGATCTGGAACAGAAACAGAAAGACTGGAAGGGAAAGTGCTGGGTGGGGGGTGGGGGGCGGGGGAGAGAATGAGTGAGAGGCGACTGGAAGAGACAGATTAGAGCCTGAGAGACAAGGTGAGGCCAGAGACAGAGCCGCTCTGAAAGAAAGGGAAGAGTGACCAGAAGAGAGGAGAGACGAAAAGCAAAACGCGTGAGTGAGCAGGTGAGAAGGGAGACAGGTCTGAGAGGTCGTCCCCCATCCCGCCAGAAAAGGAGGGACACTGCAGCTGGGGGCCCCAGCACTCACACGGCCCTCTTGCCCCCGCCCTTGGGACCCCAGAGCTGGTAAGTTCCCTGGCTGGTCTGGGAGGGACTGCCTGGGTGTGCATTCCTGGCATCCCAGAGCTTGGCAGGGATGGCTTGGGGGTGCGTGTGGAGGGCAGGAGACAGGTAGCTGGGGGCGGCCGGGAAGAGGCAGGGACTGGGGGCTCCCTGAGCACAGAGAGAGTCAAATTCCTGCCTAGAGTGCAGGGGGCAAGAATAAAGGAGCCCCTATTCTCTGTCTTGGGCTGCAGACAGCTGCCCCCTCCCCGCAGCTGCCAGGGCCGCCCACCTCTCTTGGCATCACTCTCGGGTATGCAGTCCCGGGCCAGGGCCTCCCCCAGCCCCCCAGTCCCCAGACAACGGACTCTTTCTCCTCAGCCTCCTCCGACCTGCGAGCCCCTGACCCCGTCCCTGTCCCCAGCCGGGTCAGCTGCAGAGACAGGCACACAGACCCTTTCTTTCTCTCCCTAAGCCCTTGATGGAGGAGGGCAGACCTCGGAGCAGCCTCAGCCTGGCCAGCAGCGCCTCCACCATCTCCTCGCTGGGCAGCCTGAGCACCAAGGTTCGAGGTTCTTGGAGGGGCTGGGGAGGAGGGCAGGGCTCTGGACTGCCCCAACCTCCTGTTTCCCAGCCCTGGGTTCCGTGCCAATCCAAAGGATTCCTGTTGTTAAGGGCAAGGACCCTTGGCGATGATGGGCTCTGCCACACCTAGGAAGGTCCCAAACTGCCCAACAGCTCCAGCTAGGAATTCAGAGGCACTCCCAGCTGTCCCCACCCCTCGGATTTTCCTAATTCAACCAGAGGAACAGTCCTGCTGGACTCCATGCACATCAGTTCTTCTTTTTTTTTTTAAGATTATTTATTTATTTGACACACACACACAGAGAACACAAGTAGGCAGAGGGGCAGACAGAGTCAGAGGGAGAAGCAGGCTCCCCACTGAGCAGGGAGCCCGATGCGGGGCTCCATCCCTGGGATCATGACCTGAGCCGAAGGCAGCCGTTTAACCAACCGAGCCACCCAGGCGCCCCCACGCACATCCAGTTCTGACCTCAAAATTCAGTTCCCTCCTTGGCTTGGTGTCTAAGGGCAGCCGAGCCAGGGCCTTGGGTTGCCTGCATCCCACGGCACCCAAGACCATCCTGTTAATTTCTGTCCTCCTTCTCCTCAGAAGCCTACCAGGGCAGTAAGCAAGGTGCACGCCTTCGGGAAGAGAGGCAATGCTCTCCGAAGGGATCCCAACCTCCCGGTGCACATCCGAGGCTGGCTTCATAAGCAGGTGGAGTGAGCACAAGAAGGGAAGGGACACTGAGCGACGTTAGAGCTTGGGCCCCTGGCTGTTCCCTGTTTCTCTCCTTCCCAGTCTCCAGATGTGTTTCCTTTTTTCTAACGAGCCTTCTCCCCTTTCTCTGTCCTTGTTCCCGGCACCCTTTCATCCATTCAGTGACCACTTCCAGAATGTTTATAACCTGCCAAGCCCAAATAAGACAAACAAGTATCTATAGTACGCTCAAGAGGGGGTGGGGCAGGGATGGGTACTACATTAGCATATTTCAGATTGTAGGAATTGCTCTGAAGAAATAACATGGGAGGATATGCACGAAAGTGGTAGAGGGAGGAGGGCATGCTTTGACTCTTGGTCAGGGAAGGCATCGTTTGAGCTGAGAACAAACTGACGAGAAGGAGCCCATTATGCTAAGAGCTGGGGGACGGAGGGAATCTGAGAGCGAGGGGCCCCGTGGCAGGCCAAAGCTTGGTGTCTGGAGCCAGCCAAGGGTCGAGGTAGGAGGGATGGCAGGGCAGTGGTTTGCAATATGTCCCGGCTAGGAACTTGCTGGAAATGCAGACCGACAGCCCCCACCGACCCTAGATCTACTGACTCAGGAACTCTGGGGTTGAGACCCAGGAATCTATCTGTGTTTTAAAAAGCTCCCCTGGTGATTTTTATGCAGACCCGGTTTGAGATTCCCTGCAAGCCGGTAAAAGAGGGGAAGGAATTTGAGATTTATTCTGAGTATGATAGTAGGCTCTGTCTTGAGCGGGGGACTCCCACCATCTGACATAACTGAAAAAGATCAACCTGACTTCTGTAGGAATGGATTATAGAGGAGAAGAGGAGCACAAGGTTGGAGATGGAGTAGTTTTGGCAGAGGAGAGGGGGAGATGCAGGATTCAGGTTAGGGCTCCCAGGGCCAGCTTCCTGGCCTCTCTGTGTGTCTGACTCCGGAATAATCCAATCAAAAGTCTGAGTATATAAAGTCCCGGCCCACGGGTCGTACAGTAGCTCATTCCAACCTTCTGGTAACTTCTCAATCCCCAATTGACAGATGAGAAAACACGAGTGTCCTAGCCAGGAAATGACTAGCCTAATGGCATAGTTCGAGAGGGGTGGAGCTAGGAGCCCCACTCAGGCCTGACCGAGTCCAGAATCTACGTGAGCTCAACCCCTACACTCTGGCTC